TAAAGTGTACTACAGCATAAATATGGCGTATGTTATGTCTTTGGCGAGTGAACATTTGAACTGCTCTTCAAAACTATCTACGTTGTTTGGATGCACAACAACCGGCTTCTGGAAGCCAAGGTCTGAATGTGTTTTGGCATGAAGAAACATGCCCACAAACTTCAGACCAATCACACAATAATCTGCGTATTTGCACGTGGTAAGCAGTTTGGCTTGGACCTTGTGTAAAAAAGGGGCAGGCAAAGCTGCTTTGCCAACAAAATGAACAAAATGTTGGTCCAATGAGAGCCAACTTCGTGGCTCTCATGAAATATGCAGGGAACCTAACTTAACCTGTTGCAACGTCACTGAATGAGCATCTTTCATTGACGATGTGACCATAAGGCACCGTCAGAAATCACAAAAAAATGTTTGAGCTATGTGTGCCATCCCCTGAATTTAAAGTTTGATCTGTTGAATTTCTATATAATCTGATTTTTTTTAACATAATAGAAACTGTATAAAATAAAACAATGCATTAGTCCCAAGGAAACTATAAGTTAAAGCACAGGTGTTGAACACCAGTCCTTGATGGCTGCTGTCCAGGATGTTTTCTTGTTTCCCGTCAAGCACATTACTGACATGATTGGCTGATAAACAGATGATTGGCTTCTATAGAAGTTGAAGAGGTTACTGACTCACTGAATCAGGTGTGTTGGAACAGAGAAACTATGAAAACATTTAGGATGGTTGACGTTGTGGACCTGAGTTGGAGACCTCTGAATAGATTTCATGTCATAAATTTGAATATAATTAAATAGTATAATTTTTTTGTCAGACAAGTGAAACTCATATTACATATGCAAATTGATTACACTTAGAGTGAGGTATTTTTAGAATTTATTTCTTATAATTTTCAAGCTTATGGCTTACAAATAACGAAAATACAAAATTCTGTGTCTCAGCTTTTGGTCAGTTTTGCAGATGGATGGACGATAAAAAATGACTAAATCTGATGCAGAACACCAAGTTTAGACAAGAACTTTATGCGCTTGCTTTCTATAATTCAGGAGAACAAAGTTTCTGTAAGTTTTATCAAAACATGATTGACTAGAACTGGAATAATATAAATGCTGACATCAACAACCAATTAATTTAGCCTCGCAATACTTGTGAAACAAAAAGTTAAGTTTAAGTTCATTTGTAAAGGTTTGTTTCTTTACTTTCAAACCAAACACATATGAGACAATTTATTTTACAGAAAGAGTGAAATGTTATTTTATATGACTCAAAGGTGGATTTCTAAGCACTTCTTGAATGCTTTATTTAGCTGAAAAACATTTTTTGCATGTATTTTGTCAAAATGCAATAAATTTGGAAGAACATTTTCAAGTAGATTCTTTAAATTTTCATTTTCCTGTGTATAAATTGACAGTTTTTAGGTCAAATTAATAAAATCACAATTGGTCTTGCGACCTGTCCAGGGTGTACCCTGCCCCTCGCACTGTGACTGCTGGATATGGGCACCAGTGACCCACGCAACCCTGAAAAGGAAGAAGCGTGTACAGAAAATGGATGGATGGATGGATAATAAAATCACTTGGAATTTAAAAGGAATATTAAAAAATAAAATTCACATTAAAACAGGAAAAATTATTTTTCACAGGAATCAATCATCCTTCTGGAGATTGACTTGTGAGAGCTGCTGCATAGGTTTCTTTCAGACAGAGGGGTCGCAAAATTTGCTTACTTTTGAGACATATTCAACCTGCTCAATGAACTCAATCCGTCACTTTAGAAAATAAAGGGACAGCTTTAATTATATTTGGCATTTCAAATTATCTTTGAAACATGAAATGTCATATTCCTCATTTCATTGCTTTGGCTGAGCACTGCTAACAAACAAATATGTGGTATTTTCTGCATAGAAACAGTGTTTTAACATGTCCTCTTATAAACACTATAAAGCAGCGCTATTCAACTAAATTTCTCCGCGGCCCACAGTTACTGCAGGCCAACAGCACAGGGGCCGAACATCCAGCAATTAAAGTCATTATGTAAATTAAGTATTACAAAGATCTGATACCTTTGAAATAGTTTATTTTGCTGCATTTAATCATAAATACAACATAACCCTATGTAATAACAGTAGTGATAATAAAACAATATAAAAAACAAAAATAACACATTATGCCTCCTATTTAACACAAATATTATTTTGACATCTCTGACTTGCCAGATTTTTTAACCAATTTTATTTTCACTTCCATAGTTTTATCTTCAACTGTTTGTAGTTTTAACTGTCTTGAGTGTGCATAGAAATAGTTTTTACCAGCTTCTAGCAAAGATCCTGACGTTTCTGTAGATACCTCACATGTCTATAATTAAAAAAACGTAAAGCAATTAAAGTAGAAAACTGGGAGTTTGGACTTAACAGAATGAACCTATGGGTGGACTGTACTTTCGTTACTCGTGGGCCGGATGTGGCCCGTGGGCCACCAGTTGAATAGCCCTGATATAAAGTGTATGCACAGCTGATTAAATGCAAAATAAATAATAAAGAAAGACTATTAAAAGTAAAGTAAGAGAGTTTGAGATGCTGGCTTTAAAGCAGCTTATTGTGAGACATTAATACAAAGCTATTCAACTAAACTGCTCAGGGGGCTACAGTTACTGCTCAGGGGCAGGACCATAATTATTGTCCTTCACCTTCTAAATGTGTCAGACAAAAGATCAAAAGACTGTATGGACATGATATGATGTTTGTGAAAGAAATAGTTATGTGATTGAACTGTTCACATATATATGTAATTTATCATTTTCAACAGGAATATTTCCTGATAACATGAAGACAGCCAAGGTCATCCCTCTCTATAAGAGCGGTGAGAAATACGTATATGTTTAATAATTACAGACCAATATCATTATCACAATTTTCAAAAATTTTGAAAAAGTTTTTGTGACTAGAATAGATCAATTTATCAATAAATGTAAGATATTAAGTAGTAGTCAATTTGGGTTTAGAACTAATAATTCCACATCACTGGCCCTCATGGACTTAATAGAGCAAATAATAGCTGCTATTGATCAAAAGCAGTACTGTGTTAATGGGAGATCGGCAAGAAAACTGCAATCGGTGCACCCCTAGATTTTACTGTTTGACCATTTTAGCTTTAAACTCCAGTTTAACAAGTTTTATTGTTTGGCTATGCTAATCTACGTAAGCTACAATTAGGCTAATTTTTAGTATTTGTTTTTAATAAGATTTAGATTTTACCTCTTTATAGATGTAGGCTTTAGCTACAGTTTAGCTATAATTAGCATGTTGTAGCTGCTTCAGGGCTCAATAGTAAGTATATTTTAATACAAGATTGGCTTTCTTTTAGCCTGGTCCTTGCCTTCCTACGCAGCTCCGCTCAGTTCTAGTTTCCCTTCTCTGCTCTGTCTGGGACTTCTCCCATTGAGAATGATTTCGCTGGCAGATTTTTAGCCGGACCAATCAGAGAACACAACGACAATTTTCTGCACAGTGTCAGCTTGTAGTTTATTTTACCTGGGCCAATCAGCAAACAGAAGGTGGAGTTTTGAATGACGTCAATGTTCTCCGCAGTGTCTGCTAGTTATTTTAGCATACAGCAGTGGAGGAAGTGAATGAAGCCAGTCTGTGTTGATAATAATAATAATAATAATAATAAATTTTATTTGTAACGCACCTTATATTTCAAAGAAATCTCAAAGTGCTACAGAGC